TGAGACTTCTCTCACTTCATCAAAGGATGCTTGATAGGAAGTTCTTGTGGGTTTAAATAGCCAGCAAAACGTCTGGCTTGTATTAACCCGTCATAGTTTAGTTTGTTTTAAATGTAGCACTTGATTCAATAATATAAAACATATACAATAATGAACTTATACAATGTTAAAGTTTAAACAAAAATAAAATTAATGAATTATAATACGTATTGGACCTATACATATTACTTTATATAAGAAACACAAAAATTCAAAATGTTGAAAAATTTATAAATGACATAAATAATTGTTCATAGCTAAAAAATAATAAAGAGTGGAATTAAAAATTGAAATTAAAAAAATCACATATATAAAATATTATTTCAATAACAAAATTGATAATTGCATAAACTATTATACATTTTGTACTTAATGAAAACTTAATATAGAACACATAATATAAAACACATAGTGAAAGTATGTATATTGATTAGGAATTTTATAATTTACTTTTAATACAGATTATAAATATTTGGAATCTCTTTCAGAATAAAAATTTAATGTTGCAATGTAAATATATCGATGCAGAACTTCACTCGGGCATACTATAAATTATTGTGCTGAGAGAAAAAAAAAAAGAAGGGGTATTTCTATAAAAAAGCCCTTAATTCGAAATCTACATTCACACCTTTAGGTTCTAGCGTATCTAGCTGAAATATCCATTTGGCCTCTGCTTTATCTAATTCTTTTTCTAGATCTCCTCCTCTCCATGGAATATTTACTTTTTGGATTGCCATAAAACTAAGTCCTTTAGGATCCCTTGCATGTATAAGATCAAAGTGTCTCGAGAGGTTGTGTGAATGGAGTCCATTTTTAATATTCCTAATATGTTCTCCCATTCGTGTTTTAAAAGCCCTTTTAGTACGTCTTTTATACATTTTATCACAGGGACATTTTAGTAGATAAATTACACCAGTAGTTTTACAATTTAGGTGTGATGATTTTATTTTAAAAATTTCATTTGTTTGTGGATGAGTAAATTCTGTAATGCTTGTAGATTGGTTTGGATTATTTATACATGCTTGACATTTCTTACATTTCCAAAAGCCTGTTATTGTTTTGAGAGTGGTAATTTTATTTTCCTTTGGGTTTTCCTGTTTTGTTGTAGGTGCTAGTAATAAACCTAGATTAGGAGCTTTGGAATGTATTATTCGAGGTTTATTGCCTAATATTCGTTCTAATTGGGGGTCTCCTTTAAGAATATTCCAATTTTTTTGTAGAATATTTCTAATTTGGTGAGTATGACTGTTATACCTTGTTATAAAAGTAGGAGCTTACAGATTAGATGAATCTCTATGTGGCTTAGTTGGTAGAATTTGGTTTCTAGATAAAAGGGAAGTCTTGGTTAAAGCTTGATTTAAAATTTTACTTGAGTAGCCTTTCGCTTGGAATTGTGCTGTCATCATTTTAGTTTGTTCAACACAGATGTTTGATTTAGAACAATTTCTTTTTATTCTTCTAAACTGGCTAAATGGGATATTGTTTAGCCATGTTTTTTTGTGGGAGCTATTATGGGGGATAAAACTATTACATGCTACTGATTTTTTAAAGGTTTTGGTTTCCAGTTTATTGTTTTGGATATAAATTTCAAGATCTAGGAACTCGAGTTTTTCTGTAGATTGGTTAAAAGTAAATTTTTAATTATAAGGGTTAAAATTTAAATATTGCTTAAAATTTTCCAACATTGAAATATCTCCCTTCCAAATAAAAATGCAATCGTCTATGTAGCGATGCCATGAAAACAGATTTGCGCCGAATGGGTTATTTGACCAAATGTATTCATCTTCCCATTTACCCATGAACAAATTAGTGTAGCTAGGCGCAAATCTGGTCCCCATGGTAGTGCCCTCAATCTGAAGGTAATAGTGATTGTTAGCCCCAAAAAAGTTGTGGCTAAGAATAAAGGCTACACATTTTACAATGTATTCAATTTGATCATTTTTTAATTCTGAAAAAGTGCCGAGTGCATATTGAATAGCCTCACATCCCTGTAAGTGTTCAATAACTGTGTATAGGGATGTGACATCTGCTGTTACTAAAATATATTCTGAATTCCATTCTATACTTGATAAAAAATTGATGATATGAGTAGTATCCCTTAAATGAGACCGTAATTTGGGCACTATCTTTTGTAGAAATTGGTCAACATACTCAGATAGATTGGAGCTTAGAGAACCTATACCAGAAATTATTGGGTGGCCTGGTGGGTTTACAAGAGTTTTATGTATTTTAGGTACATGATAAAATATAGCTATTCTGGGAAATTTGCAATAAAGATAATCGTAATCTTTTTTAGTTAAAATATTTCTTTCTTTACCTTCTTCTAATAACTTCTGTAGCTCTAGTTGAAATTCATTAGTTGGATTTGTTGTTAGAATTTGATATGTATTTGTGTCTTGAAGTAATCTTTGATTTTCTTTTTTATAATCTGTTGTGTTTAAAATCACTAGGCCTCCACCTTTATCTGCTCCCCTTATGGTTATATTTTCTTCTTCCATTAATTGTTTTAAAGCTTTTCTCTCTTTTTTGGTTAAGTTGTCTTTAGTATTGTCTTTAAGATTTAATGTTCTAAGGTCTTTCTCCATATTTTTTTCAAAGACTTTAATATGGTCTGTTTTAATCTGTTCTGGATAGAACGTGGACTGAGGATGTACATTGGTATGCTGGTATGTACTCGTATTTGATGAAGTTTGAAGTTCTTTGTCAAGAAAATTTTTTTTGATAGTTAATTTTCGAATAAATTTATGAAGATCAATGAAAATATCAAATTGTGAATTAGATGAACTGGGGGCAAATTTTAATCCTTTCTGGAGTAGAGATGTTTCCTCTTGCATTAATACTCTTTGAGATAAATTGAATACATTTATTTCCTTTGTATTTGATTGTGATTGTGGTGTTGTTAGTATTTCTCGGTCTTGTTCTCTTCTTTGTCTTGGTTTTCTTTTGAGGGATGGTGATTGAGTGTATTCTCTCCATCTGGTCTCTTGTTCTCTTGATGTCCTTGTGTTTCGTTGGACTGGTGATCTGTGAATCTTCGTGGTTTCTTCTTTTTCTCTTGAGTGTATTCTTATTCGTTTTCTAAACTGGTTCATGGATTGCGGGATAAAACTTACCAGGAAAGGTTAAAGGATCTTAACATGTATAGCTTGGAGGAAAGACGAGACAGAGGGGATATGATAGAAACATTTAAATATATAAAGGGAATCAACACAGTAAAGGAGGAGACTATATTTAAAAGAAGAAAAACTACCACAACAAGAGGACATAGTCTTAAATTAGAGGGACAAAGTTTTAAAAATAATATCAGGAAGTATTACTTTACTGAGAGGGTAGTGGATGCATGGAATAGCCTTCCATCTGAAGTGGTAGATGTTAACACAGTAAAGGAGTTTAAGCATGCGTGGGATAGGCATAAGGCTATCCTAACTATAAGATAAGACTAGGGACTAATGAAAGTATTTCGAAAATTGGGCAGACTTGATGGGCCGAATGGTTCTTATCTGCCGTCACATTCTATGTTTCTATGTTTCTATGTTTCTCACTAAAAAAAGTCCCCAAAAAAGATGGCGAAGAGGGAGTCTCCGTGTGTTGACATTGAGGTTGATGTGATGTATGTGATGGTGAATTTGGTTTAGATGTCCTAAATGATGGCTGTTGTTTTTTGAAAGGAATGCGAAGTTTAGGTACTGGAGAGTCCTTTTCCAATATGTGGGATGAGTGGTTAAATGTTTTGTGATGATATTGTGCAACTGGACGTGGTAGATATTGATTTTGATATGAATGTGTCTTATTCGTTTTCTCCCTAAAAAAGTCCCCAAAAAAGATGGCGAAGAGGGAGTCTCCGTGTGTATGTATACACTCAAAAGAAAAAGAAGAAACCATGAAGATTCACAGATCTCCAGTCCAACGAAACACAAGGACAAACACAAGGACAAGAGAACAAGAGACCAGATGGAGAGAATACACTCAATCACCATCCCCCAAAAGAAAACCAAGACAAAGAAGAGAACAAGAACTTTAAGTTTTATAGATGCTGCTATATTATTTTATATTTTGTATGTAGTTTTTATTTTTATTTTATTTTAATTGTATTCTGCCTGCTATTGGATCTTCCATTGGACTCTCTTCCATATTGTTCCTGGGAGTTCCATGTTATATGGAAATATGCCTGCTATTTCTCTTCACTTGTAAGTGAGACCAATAAATATTATTTTGTAATTTAATTACATACTTCACCATATTTGTTTTTTTACTCTTTTATATATCCCACGGAGGATCGTCTATACATAAGATTGCTACCCTTGGGAGGGTGAGAAGCCTGATTTCAATTTTGTTTGTGAGTGCACCTATTTCCACTAATATATCACTCACCTATTTAGTACTGTACTATGCTATGTCAGTCTTTTAATCTTTTATACAGATTCCGTTTATGAACCACGACCTATATTTCAGGTTATCTGTACTTGTTCTTATATTATCATGTATTTGGGAGGTGTTTTCCACTTGGTTTTTCAATTATATGTGTGTTAGGTGTTAGTGAGGTACACCTGGGAGCTCTCCCTAATATATGATTTTCACATAATTTTGTATAGTGTGTATACTCTACTGCTTTGTTTGTAAAGAAGAGAACAAGACAGAGAAATACTAAGACAACACCACAATCACAATCAAATACAAAGGAAATACATGTATTCAATTTATCTCAAAGAGTATTAACGCAAGGCAACATCTCTACTCCAGAAAGGATTAAAATTTGCCCCCAGTTCATCTAATTCACAATTTGATATTTTCATTGATCTTCATTAATTTATTCGAAAATTAACTATCAAAAAAAAATTCTTGACAAAGAACTTCAAACTTCATCAAATATGAGTACATACCAGCATACCAATCTACATCCTCAGTCCATGTTCTATCCAGAACAGATTAAAACAAACCATATTAAAGTCTTTGAAAAAAATATGGAGAAAGACCTTAGAACATTAAATCTTAAAGACAATACTAAAGACAACTTAACCAAAAAAGAGAGAAAAGCTTTAAAACAATTAATGGAAGAAGAAAATATAACCATAAGGGGAGCAGATAAAGGTGGAGGCCTAGTGATATTAAACACAACAGATTATAAAAATGAAAATCAAAGATTACTTCAAGACACAAATACATATCAAATTCTAACAACAAATCCAACTAATGAATTTCAACTAGAGCTACAGAAGTTATTAGAAGAAGGTAAAGAAAGAAATATTTTAACTAAAAAAGATTACGATTATCTTTATTGCAAATTTCCCAGAATAGCTATATTTTATCATGTACCAAATTAGAAATATTCTGCAAAAAAATTGGAATATTCTTAAAGGAGACCCCCAATTAGAACGAATATTAGGCAATAAACCTCGAATAATACATTCCAAAGCTCCTAATCTAGGTTTATTACTAGCACCTACAACAAAACAGGAAAACCCAAAGGAAAATAAAATTACCACTCTCAAAACAATAACAGGCTTTTGGAAATGTAAGAAATGTCAAGCATGTATAAATAATCCAAACCAATCTACAAGCATTACAGAATTTACTCATCCACAAACAAATGAAATTTTTAAAATAAAATCATCACACCTAAATTGTAAAACTACTGGTGTAATTTATCTACTAAAATGTCCCTGTGATAAAATGTATAAAAGACGTACTAAAAGGGCTTTTAAAACACGAATGGGAGAACATATTAGGAATATTAAAAATGGACTCCATTCACACAACCTCTCGAGACACTTTGATCTTATACATGCAAGGGATCCTAAAGGACTTAGTTTTATGGCAATCCAAAAAGTAAATATTCCATGGAGAGGAGGAGATCTAGAAAAAGAATTAGATAAAGCAGAGGCCAAATGGATATTTCAGCTAGATACGCTAGAACCTAAAGGTGTGAATGTAGATTTCGAATTAAGGGCTTTTTTATAGAAATACCCCTTCTTTTTTTTTTTCTCTCAGCACAATAATTTATAGTATGCCCGAGTGAAGTTCTGCATCGATATATTTACATTGCAACATTAAATTTTTATTCTGAAAGAGATTCCAAATATTTATAATCTGTATTAAAAGTAAATTATAAAATTCCTAATCAATATACATACTTTCACTATGTGTTTTATATTATGTGTTCTATATTAAGTTTTCATTAAGTACAAAATGTATAATAGTTTATGCAATTATCAATTTTGTTATTGAAATAATATTTTATATATGTGATTTTTTTAATTTCAATTTTTAATTCCACTCTTTATTATTTTTTAGCTATGAACAATTATTTATGTCATTTATTAATTTTTCAACATTTTGAATTTTTGTGTTTCTTATATAAAGTAATATGTATAGGTCCAATACGTATTATAATTCATTAATTTTATTTTTGTTTAAACTTTAACATTGTATAAGTTCATTATTGTATATGTTTTATATTATTGAATCAAGTACTACATTTAAAACAAACTAAACTATGACGGGTTAATACAAGCCAGACGTTTTGCTGGCTATTTAAACCCACAAGAACTTCCTATCAAGCATCCTATGATGAAGTGAGAGAAGTCTCACGAAACGCGTAAGGACGACATTCAGGACGACACTACATTGCTTTCCGGCATCTACCGAAAAACTGCCGATTTCCATCTGGAACACAGAAGGGGAGCTCGGTGAATCGCACGCGGCTTGAATACAACCGATCCATTTATCCATCGGATGATCGGACAGTTTATTTTTCCCAGCTGCTTACACCATCCTCCTGCTTCAAATCCAGCTTATATTTTACACAATGTGAGTGTATTTTTTGCTTTCTTATACTAAGTTTACTCTACAATAAATATTTTTTTATATATCAGAACTTGGATTCTATAACTTTATTTCCTATTATTAGGAGTAAAGTGTTATTATAACTAAGGGCTACCCAATATAGTCTGTTGGCTATGTTATGTTTCTTTCTTTGGTACCAGATACAATATTTCAATTATAAGGACCACATACATTGTTATATTGTACTATACTAAACAACTAATTCAGTATCCAGATACCAGTTCATCAATAACTGGAGTGAACTGAATTAGCTTACATACAAAGATTCTAAAAGACTGTTATTTTTATTTTTATTTTTTTTATTTTAATACATAGTATCAATCACAAGACTGTTATACATTGGATTTTAAAGTTTCAAGTTTCTTTTTCAGTGAAAGCATAATATTGGATACTACTGCTTCATCTTATTGAATAGTTTTCTGCAATTTTAATTTATAACTATTGCACAAATATCAGCCCAAAGGTATACATTATAAACTACTCCTGGATATTTTATTAAATTTTCATTTAATAATTTTTCTTATGTTTGCACTATTAGGGATTTTTTAGTGGAGTCTCTATTTTTTCCAGTTGAGCAGTTTAGCCCTGCCATAATTTATTCTCTAGCCAGAGGTTTCTTTTTACGTAATCTCAACTATTAACCCTTGTGTGTGTGTGTGTGCCTGAGATTGATGTGAGTGTGCTTAGGAGAGTGAACACGAGTGAAAGGTAAGGTAAAAAGAAACGGGTTTGTGTGTGTGTGTGTGTGTGTTTCTGAGATTGATGTGAGTGTGCTTAGGAGAGTGAACAGGAGTGAAAGGTAAGGTAAAAAACGGGTTTGTGTGTGTGTGCCTGAGATTGATGTGAGTGTGCTTAGGAGAGTGAACAGGAGTGAAAGGTAAGGTAAAATAACGGGTTTGTGTGTGCCTCAGATTGATGTGTGTGTGAATAGGAAAGTGAACAGGAGTGAAAGGTAAGGTAAAAAAACGGGTTTTTGTGTGTGTGCCTGAGATTGATGTGAGTGTGCTTAGGAGAGTGGGAAAACAAGGGACTGGCTGCACTCACCTGAACATGCTGGGTGCCAATAAGTAGAGTAAAAATGAAAATCCAGCACACTCCCTTATCTACTAAACAGCTACTTTGGTGCTTAAAATTTTGCTAGTTTTATTAAAAACACCTAATCTAGGCAAAAAAATAATGGGGGTTTAGTTACATTATATGATCATACATTGATTGTGCATTGACGTTGTGGCAGGCTTATGTAATGTATGATCATATAATGTTTTAGATGCAATGAAAATTACAGCATATTCCTGGAACAAAATTTCAAAGACAGCCATGAAAGGTGTTTGGAAAAAGCTCTGCCCTCAGTAGTTTGGTACTAATGTTGAAGGGTTTGAAGAACCAGCAGAAATTGTACAGCAGAACATAGAAGCAATCGTTACTCTTGCCAACAGATTGGACCTGGACGTTTCTGCAACTGACATAAATGACCTTCTTGAAGCACACAAGGAAGAATTTACAAAAGAAGACCTCTTAGATATGGAAGAACAAGAGGAAGTTGAAGAGGTAGAAGATGTTACAGCACCTGAAACTCCTGTCATTCTTTCACCTTTTAAAGGCCTCGAGGAAACATTTCAACACATAGAAAAGGCAATGAATATTTTTGAATCACAAGATTCTAACTTTGAGAGAAGTGCCAAAGTTGCTAGAGCTTTAAGAAATTACTATGCCTGCTATAAGGAAATTTACAACGAAAAGTGTGTTGGAAGCAAACCACTATCACAGCTTGTCTACAGAAAGCTGCTGTGACTAGTTCTGTCTCAAACGAACCAGAAACAAGTGAGGTGCAGCCTTCAACAAGTACCAAACAATTGAGGGTGGACTGTGCGGTGCCCCATGTCTCTTCATTGAGGACGAGGATGATTGAGGATGATTTGATGAAGAATTCAATATGGTATGTATTTCTTTAATAATCCTACAACATATATGTATTTGTTATTGTGCTTAATAATTTAGGTTTTCTATAGTAAAACTTCTTGGTCAGGAACGGAACCTATGCTTATTACATTGCGGTCTATGGGAAATGAGTTCTCACTTTATGAACTCTCACTTTATGAACTAAGCTTCGGAACCAATTAGTTTGTAAAGTGGGGAACTACCTGTACAGACTAGGAAAATGAAATCTAAATTGTGTCTATAGTAGAACAGGCTATGTACCGCACTTAGTGTAACTGTGCATACAGAGCTTGTACCTTAATTGCTTCACCACCAAATATAGTTCAGGTCTGGAGCAACTATTGTATCTTATTCACATCTACAGAAAACCCAACCTAAAATGCTTGTTAAAGAGAATCACATTTACTTCCTCCAGATGCTACATCCAGTGATGGCAATACCCATCAAATAAGAGCAACATCCTGCATCAAGCCATATGCAAACCAGGCATCATATAGTGGGGGATATTTATCAAGGCAAAAACAGGTGCTGTTCTGAAACACTAAATAAAAAGAAGCAAGTGCCTTGGAAACCAATAGCATATCACACAATATTTAGCACTTTCCATCCAGAATTGCATTTGTTTTGCCTTGATTCCCTTTGTGTCTTGGTTATAATCTTTTGGAGAACAGTACGCCAGGTTGGTTGACACATGATATGTTAAAATATGTATTTATATACCTATTATTGACCATAGCACCGTTTTTTTCCACTTATTTACGATTGGAGCTGGAAACTTTAATTGCTGTTTTAGCCTAAATTTTACAAGTTTGTTGTTAACTCAAAACAACCCATACAAATCAATTTATTTTGATATGGATATGTATCTATATATCACTGCTCAACTATCATTACTATTTGATTACCACACCTATCTTGTAACAATACCTTCGTTATAAATCATTCATATCAATCAATAAACATTTTCTAAAATTTAGATCACACTTATTTTTGGTGGGTGTGCTTGCAAAATCTGGTTAAAATGGTATTGGGATTAGATTATTTAGACACATAAATTCCATAGCAGTTATGGATTGGTTTATTTTAGTACACTGCTTTCTATCTTTCAAGCAACTTTATACTATATAATCTTGACTTACATTATGAGATGATTTATTTCAAGAGGTGCAAATGGTTTAGCTGTATCCAAAGACATTACAAGGCAATTATTTTCCTTTATTAAATTGGGAAATAGTAACAACCCCTGAATGTTGGGCTAAGGTAACATCCCCAGGACTTACTTGAAAACCAGAGTAATCTGAATGTATCTTTCCTGGTTAAATGCTGTTATTATTATTATTTGCAAAAAACCCACATAATCTGCAATGATGCAAAATAGGAAACAATATATTTCTATTTCATTTTAGATGTAGACATATGACTCATAAATTTAATGACTCCTTATAAAT